ATTATATCATGTGTTATCAAGGCAGGAGCAGATCTCACAACCATTATATCATGTGTTATCAAGGCAGGAGCAGATCTCAAAACCATTATATCATGTGTTATCAAGGCAGGAGCAGGGTTTATAACTATTATATCATGTATTATCAAGGCAGGAGCAGGGTTCACAACCATTACATCATGTGTTATCAAGGCAGGAGCAGGGTTCACAACCATTATATCATTTGTTATCAAGGTAGGAGCAGAGTTCACAACCATTATATCATGTGTTATCAAGGCAGGAGCAGATCTCACAACCATTACATCATGTGTTATCATGGCAGGAGCAGGGTTCACAACCATTACATCATGTGTTATCAAGGCAGAAGGAGGATTCACAACCATTACATCATGTGTTATCAAGGCAGGAGCAGGGTTTACAACCATTACTTCATGTTATCAAGGCAGGAGCAGGGTTTACAACCATTACTTCGTGTTATCAAGGCAGGAGCAGGGTTCACAACCATTATATCATGTGCTATCAAGACAGGAGCAGAGTTCATATCATTAAGTCAAATCATCTAATTTCGAATTACTACATAACATGGTATCATCATCAGCTACTACACAACAGGACTCAGGTCCTTCTATCTATCTATAGTTTATTGAAAGTATCATCATTTTATTACCAGCTACTACACAACAGAACCCAGGTCCTTCTATTTACCTACAGTTTACTGAAAGTATCATCATCTTATTACCAGGATTAGATACAAAAACACAGCAAATTCTTATGAAACTTACCTTGGAATTATCTAGATTTTCTCTAGCAACCTCCAGAGTCTGAGGAGTTGTTTCATTTTCTTGAGCAAGTTCAGGTTCTAATTCAGCCAGAAGCTTATCACATTGATTAAGTGTTTCCTCATATGTACGAAACTTCTGAAAAGCCTGATCCAGACGTGCCTACAGAAAAAGAAAATATTATTATTATACTAATTTTGTTCTGCTAGATTAAAGTTTAAATTATGAGTTTCTAAAAAAGGACAATTCACCTGTAATCAGACTGGTTTAGGCTTTTCTCATAAATTCTAATCAGTTTGTGTAACAAAAGCCACAGAAGAAGGAAATATCAAACAAAAGATGTTTTTTCTTAAAAAAAAGCTAAAGCTAAAGACAAAGTTAAGAATGACAAATAGATATTTATATCACATACATTTTGTTCAAAATTCTTCTTTCTTGAAGAGAAGTATTGATGAAAATATTAATTTTCTAAGAATGCTTATCATCATCATAATCATCATGATTATAAGCCAAGTTATTAATTTCTATCTAATTTTTTATCATTGTTATTAGGTACTGATTACTAATAGTTTGTTTCCTATGTTTCAGCTACTAGGGAAGGGCTGCATTTGTGGAAGGTTGTAACTGCGATTCAAGCTTGGTTCTTTTTGATTGACAGGCTCATCCATTACTACTTGAAGGAACTAACTGTTATGACAGCGGAAGTCACGTGACGTTGGTAATACGTCATGAGTTTCTAGAAGGATCATGACTGTTCCTGGCAACTCTAGTGTTTGCCAGATGCCCTTTCTGTATATAAGCCCGGCAAATAAAGTGGAGATATAATTGAAGATAGACAGATATAGAGACACATAATTGAGTCAAGTGAGCAGTAGTGACCATAAGAAAAGTGCATGAATCATTGTGAATTATAGCGCGTGTTTAAGTTAAAGTTACTGTGGAAATTCTGTGTATTGCAAAGTTTGTAACGAGAAAGAATAAACTAGTTTTAATTAAGAAAGGATTTGTATCACTAAAGTTTCTTGGAAAGAATATCTACAGGAAATTAACAAATGACCAGAGATGTAACATAACTATTTAAATGATTTCAAGAGGGGTATTAATGGTTTGCTGACTTCTATGCCAAACTAACTGAGTGTATTATCAGTTAGGTGGATGTAGAAGGTCTCTTTCATCCTGGTCATAACCAACACAGTTCTTCTCATAACGTTTCTGATGATAGCAGCAGATGAACAGACAAAACGTGTGACATAAACTAGATATAACATGACAATAACTGATCACCACAGTCTTACTGTAAGTACTTAATAACAGTAATTACCTCTATTTGTTCAGCACTAGCTAGTAGAGAGTCATAGCTTTCTTGTATGTTTGCTAATTGTTTATTTATCTGGTTTTCTATGGTTCTTTCCTTGTATGTTTCTATAATTACCCCTCCTTTTGCCTTAACCTTATCAATCACAGTTTGGTATCTCTCAATTTCTTCCAAAACTCTCTATAAAGAATAAAAAGAAACATTAATGTTTAGTAGTTCTTAATCTGTCATATGGTTTTCTTTCTTGACATTAGTAAAGTTATGTTCAAATTAAAAAAATACTAAAAGCAAACTGTATTTATTTGCTGTTTATAATCTAAAATTACCAACTTGGTTATAAAACAAGAGAATAGTAACAGCATTAAATTTAAAGAAAAACATCTGGATTTAAGATTTCATGAGCTTATTCTGGCAATGGTTAAATTATATTTTCAGTAACACAAATTTGATCTTTCAAAAATAGTTGTGAATTGGAAACCTTAAGTATGAGAGATGACAAGATTTGTAAATAATGATGCAACATTAGCTTAAAGAATGTTTAGCTTTAACATTTCTCCACTTCATTGTAGTATAAATAACTTTTACTTTATACAAACCTTATGCTTCTCAAGGTGGTCTTGAGTCTGAGGAAGACTGCTAATTTGTAAGGAATGATGCGACATTAGATTGAAAGACATCTGAAGTAACCATTTTTCTGTTTCTTGGAGAGCGTGTTGATAGTCCTGAAGGGTTTGAAGCTCACTCTCTAACTGACTGAGGATTTCCTAAGAAGATACAAAATAGTTTAGAATAGTGAGGAGTAGCGAGTTTCCAAAAAGAAGAGCAGGGTGGACTAATTATTAAAGCATTTTAAGTACTTAAGTAATAATTTGGGATCCCAAATACTTAAGGTCAGCAATTTAGTGTGAGGTGGATACAACTTGAAACCTATTTACCTCCCTATTTGAGCGTAATGCTGGAGTTTTAAGACATTATTCAGTATTATCTATTAAATTAATATTCTCTCACCAGACACCTATTCAATGATGCTGTCAGTCGATCTGTCATCTCTGTCAGGAGATCAACAGCTTGTGGATCGTCTGTTTTCTCTGCTAACTCTTGAGCTTCAGCCTGAAGTTCTGATAATTGAGGTTGCTGTTGTTCTATTTCCAACCTCAGATGCTTTAGTAAAATGTGATATCCAGATTAAACTTTGTTTTCATTCATAAATAAACAGACGAATAAACATTTGATAGAAAACGTCAACTAATGCAAGTATAATATAAATATCTTCAATAACTTGTAGTTATAAATATGTTACTTAATTACACATTTACCTTATAATGGTTAACAAATAATCTGATATCAAAGTTATCTCTTGCTGAAAATTATAAATATATTACTCTAAGGACTTGATGTTACTTAAATACTTACTGTTTATTGTTCAATAAATAATCTGATATCAAAATTATCTCATACTGATGAATATATTACTCTAAGGACTTGATGTTACTTAAATACTTACTGTTTATTGTTCAATAAATAATCTGATATCAAAATTATCTCGTACTGATGAATATATTACTCTAAGGACTTGATGTTACTTAAATACTTACTGTTTATTGTTCAATAAATGATCTGATACCAAAATTATCTCTTTGGGACAAAAAAGCAATACATTCACTAAAATCACTTTCATTAAAAGGTACAACTAAGTCTTTCACTTTATTATTGTTTTAATTCCAGTAAAATCTTAATTTATCTCAGATGAGCTACTAAACCTTCTTACCCATTTTGTTTAAAAGCCAAGATTTCAAAAATATAAGTTTTTTCAGTCAATAGAGCCACTTAAGCTTTCTTAACAAAGTTTGTTTAAAAGCCATGATTTCAACAATATAAGTTTTAAAGTAACTACAACTACTTAACTTTCTTAACAAAGTTTGTTTAAAAGCCATGATTTCAACAATATAAGTTTTTAAAGTAACTACAACTACTTAACTTTCTTAACAAAGTTTGTTTAAAACCCATGATTTCATCAATATAGGTTTTTAAAGTAACTACAACTACTTGACTTTCTTAACAAAGTTTGTTTAAAAGCCATGATTTCAACAATATAAGTTTTTAAAGTAACTACAACTACTTGACTTTCTTAACAAAGTTTGTTTAAAAGCCATGATTTCAACAATATAAGTTTTTAAAGTAACTACAACTACTTAACTTTCTTAACAAAGTTTGTTTCAAAATGTCACAATTTCAAAAATATTGTTATAAGTTATATTTTGAATTTGTTAATTTATATATGTTCATTAGAGAGAACTTTTCATTATGATAGTGTCAAGATCTAGAAATTTCATAAAAGTTAGTATCAAGAAGCTTCCTGGACTACATAGAAATGAGAGTATGATATAAATATAAGTAATTGTCAATTGAGTCAGTTCAGTGTTTGAAAAGTTAGAAATGCAGTGAGTTATAACATATATTCTGCTATTTAGTTACTCTGTGAGTTATGTGTTTATCGGTCAAAGTTAAGCAGGTATTATTAGTCTGAGAATTTCTCTTGAAACATGTTTGAAGTTAGGCCTACACATGATCATAGTTGAACAAACATTTATTGAAGAAATACATCAATGTGGAATGGACTTTCTATTATTTTTTGATAAATAATCCAATGGAACCTGGCCAATGATAGAACACATAACAACAATGTCATCTTTTCCACTTAAGAGAGCTACTTAGTTTTCCTACCTTATATTGTTCAAAAAGTGTTCTGATTTCCACAATTTCTCCTTTTGTCTTAGGTGGGCTACTGAGTTTTCCCTCTAAGTCTTCTAGCCATTGTCTGAAGTTAGCACTGTTCTGATTAAACTCTTGTAGCCTGGCTAGTACTGATGAAAGAAGAGCAGTGGCTTCACTTAGCTGTTGACTCAAAGTTGCCAGTTGGTCACGATAAGAATCAATGTCAGCTCTCAAGGCTGACTGAGCTGTGTCTGGCAGTGATCCTAAGATGCGAGTACCAGCCTCACAAGTAGTGGCCAACAAATGTTGCCCTTCAGGTAGTGATGTTGCAAGGTTCTAAAAACAAAAGTTTAGATCTTAAAGTTGGGTCTCTGAGAAAAAGATATTTTCACTATTGTGGTTAACGATGAATAAGAGTAAAAAAACTACATTTTATTATTGAAGATATTTAGAAATTACCATCTAAAATTATTTATTTGGAAAAAACAAAGCTCCTCTTAGAGTCAGCTATTTTTGAAAATATAAACAAATATATTTCACATAAAAAAATAAAATAAGAAATTTAAAACACACTTTATTATGTATAAATGTAAAAATCTTCAAAATCAGCTATATGTTTAATAACACAAAAGAAACACAGTTGTCAAAATCAGCTACATGTTTAATAATAAAGAAATAAAGTTGTCAAAATCAGTTACATGTTTAATAAGGAAGAAATACAGTTGTCAAAATCAGCTATACATTTGATAATAAAGAAGAAACACAGTTGTCAAAATCAACTACATGTTTAATAATAAAGAAGAAACACAGTTGTCAAAATCAGCTACATGTTTAATAATAAAAAAGAAATACAGTTGTCAAAATCAGCTATATGTTTAATAATAAAGAAGAAACACAGTTGTCAAAATCAACTACATGTTTAATAATAAAGAAGAAACACAGTTGTGAAAATCAGCTACATGTTTAATAATAAAAAAGAAACACAGTTGTCAAAATCAGCTATATGTTTAGTAATAAAGAAAAAAATGATAAGCACGATTTAAGAAAATGAAAAACAAATATAATAAAACATGTTCTACGAACTGAAGTAATAAAATTAATTAAAAATACCTTGAGACTTTGAATACGTTCTTGAAGACAGTCTTGGTCTTGAGTTGGATCTTTGTTTTTCTGCAAAGTCGCACGGCTCTCCTGAATCCAACGTAGGTATTTCTCTTTGAGATTTGAAAATTCACTTTGATAACTGAGAGCTTTTTCCAGCTTTGGTATTGTGTCCTTGTGTACAAAAAAAAACATAAATGCTATGAAAATCTATAGATTTCATTGAGTTGTTGTGTAAGAACAAAAACAGTAATGTTATGAATGTCTAGTTTTTCATTCTGCTCTGGTGAAAAGAACAAAAACTATTATAAAAGTCTAGGGTTTTCATTGTATCCTGATATAAACAACAAGGACAATTTTATGAAAGTCTAGGATTTCCATTGTGTCCTGGTGTAAGGAACAAGTATAACAATGTTATGAAAGCCTAGGGTTTTCACTGTGTTCTTGTGTAGAGAACAAGTATAACAGTTATATGAAAGTCTAGGGTTTTCCTTCTGTTGTAAAGAACAAGGATAACAGTGATATGAAAGTCTAGGGTTTTCCTTCTGGTGTACAAAACAAGAATAACAGTGTTATGAAAGTCTAGGGTTTTCCTTCTGTTGTAAAGAACAAGAATAACAGTGTTATGAAAGTCTAGGATTCTCATTGTATTCTGGTGTAAAGAACAAGATTAACAGTGTTATGAAAGACTAGGGTTTTCACTGTGTTCTTGTGTAGAGAACAAGTATAACAGTTATATGAAAGTCTAGGGTTTTCCTTCTGTTGTAAAGAACAAGGATAACAGTGATATGAAAGTCTAGGGTTTTCCTTCTGGTGTACAGAACAAGAATAACAGTGTTATGAAAGCGTTATAATGTTATGAATAACAGTGTCATGTATTCTTGTGTAGAGAACAAGAACAATAGTAGAGAGGTAGTGAAACACGGTTTAGTGTACAATAAAGTCCACAGTTATTTCTAATTCCTGCAGTTAATAAGTTTATATTCATTCTAATGACATCAGCTATTTATACCCAATATAATTTCAAAAAGTCTGTCTGACTTACAGTAATGCTAGTTAAGAGGGATGAATAAGATGTTGATAGTGAAACAGCTTTTTCACGAATGGTTGGGTAAGATGTTACATCCAGTAGCGCTTCACATTTCTGGTTTACCTCTTCAATATCAGGCTTGTGGAAACATGCTTCTTCATGAAGTGCCTTAATAAACATGATGAAAAATTAAACTGGTAACAGCAGAAAACATGAAATATTCACTAAAATATATTTCTACTAAATGATTACTTTTGTTTGGACTCACTCTAAGAAAATAATGTACATATTAAGCACATATTTTTCTCAACAAAACTGTGAACTCACTTACTTTCAACTCATTTAGTTGTTCTTGTTCCTTTCCTGAGCCTGGTGGTACTGCCAGCACAGATTTAGTCATATTTTGAAAGCGTGACAACCACTCAGCAGAGTGGCAATAAACTGCTTGAAACTCTCCCCAGTACTGGAGACATTTGGTGATGTTTTGCTCTACTTCTCCAACAAGAGCCTGCAGACATTCCCATTCTATAGTGATTTGTTCTATTTCCTGTTCAATTCGTTCCTGCCCAGCAAGTTCTAACTTCTCTTTCACATTATTCCCAAGACTACTAACTTTTTCAACTAATTCCTCACCATTTGGAAGGCTTTCTTTTACCTTTAATAACTCTTCCTGTTGCTGTTGTATAGTTGAATGATCTCCTACACATTCTCCACATTTCTGAGCCTTCAATTTTACCTCCTTCAACCATTTTTCAGTCTCCTGTTTGGTGCTACTGTATGCCTCCAAATCTTTAATTTCTACTGTTAATACAGAAACAGCCTTTTGAAGAGTCTCCATCAGATTCTGAAACTTTTCAATACTGTTCTTTGCCACATCAGCAACCTGGGGGTTTTGTTCCATGCCTTGATTAAGCCGATCTATTGTTTCTCTGCGAATATCCATGTCCTTGAGAATGGCACGATAATTATCAAGAAGATATTTTTTCTCTGTGACAGATACCAGCTCATGCCTTGAGTCAGCATTAACTGTGTTCTCAGTTTCTTCCAGATACTCCTGGAACTGTTTCAGAATTTTGGTGAATTCATCTAACTCTGCCATCCGACTAGCTAGGTGTACGCGAGCATCAGAGATATCCTTCACAAGTTTGTCAAAATCAGTTTTCAGGTTTTCAGCATCTTCTTGAATGGAGCTAATTCCAGAAGAGTCAGTGTTTACTATGACCTTTTCTGTGAGTTCTAGGACATATCTTACTTTGTTCTGACCTTGTTCCATGTTGGATGCTAGAGACTTCAGGCTATTTAGTTTAGCATTAAGTTCATCAACACTGTGAGATGTTCGGCAGCAATCTTTAAGTCTCTCTCGAGCAACATCAATAAACTCAACACATTCTGTTAGCATGCACTGTTGCTGCTGGTGTTCCTGGAAGTGCTGTTCAAGCTTGTGCATCACTTCCTTAGACAGAGAGAGAAGGTTACTATACTTGGAGGACAACTGGGTAAAGGCATTAGAAATACTGGAATCAGAATATGTTTCCAGGAGGAGCTGTGCTCTTACATTTAGTTTGTCAAATTCAGCCTGCCAATCAAAGATGGTCTGAAGATGTCCCTGTTGAAAAACAAAAGGTTACTAAATCATCATCAAAGCAATGATCATAGAAAATATGTTCTATTGTAAAGTATTATGTTCTAGTATAATGCATGATGCTAACTTAGTATCAAAATGATGGGAACTATAGAAAAGATGTTCAAATGTAAAGTTTTATGTTCTAG